ACACTATCAAAGTCGTATAAAATGGCAGCCGCTGATTCTTTTTGGTAAATGTGCCGGGCCAAAGGTGATACTTTATGCACCATCCCTGTGACGAAGCATGATGGCAGATGATATCGTCCATAGTTTAGATGAGATCCCTGTGAGTAACGACATTAGTTAGAAACGATAGTGCCTGTAGGTTCAAGTAGATTTGGTACATACGCAACATTCATCGGCATTTCCTCGATCTGAGTATTGTAGAACTGCTCGATGTCTCGAAGCATTCGGACATCATCGTTGGTGGCAAAGTTGATAGCAACACCCTTCCTGCCGAATCGCCCTCCACGACCGATACGGTGGATATAGTTTTCACGGTTATTTGGAAGGTCATAGTTGATGACGAGGGACACTTGTTGGACGTCGATACCGCGAGCCAAAAGATCGGTTGTGATGAGCACACGAGATGAACCGCTACGGAACTCCTTCATGATCAACTCTCGCTGCTTTTGTTCCATATCTCCGTGCTAAAAGTACCAATTAAGAGGGCTGAATTTGAAGGCTGAGCTATAACGTACCATAGCAGAGACAGTAAATTCGCGCGCTGTCAGTTTTTCCGTGAGCCAGTCCACTTTACGCCTGCTGTTGCAGAAGATGACTGCTTGAGTAATGGTGACCGTCTCGTACAAGTCAGAGAGCGTATCAAGTTTCCATTCCTCCTTTTCGACAGCTGCGCTATGTCAGAAATTACACTCGATAGGCTGTGGAACCAACTAACCGATATAGAACTGCTTGATGCCTTCCAACGTGAGTTCGTCCCGCTTGACGAGGATACGAATGGGATCACGCATAAACTTCTTTGTTACTTCCAGGACATCGGAGGGCATGGTGGCAGAGAGCAAGACAACTTGTGTATCTTGAGGGAGATGCTGGAAGACTTCGTAGATCTGATCTTTGAATCCACGCGAAAGCATTTCGTCAGCCTCGTCAAGACAGAAGATCTTGACGCTGTCGGTCTTCAGCGCTCGTCGATTGATCATATCAAATACCCGACCAGGGGTACCGACGACGATATGTACACCTGGATCTAGTCAATACAAAATCAGGAAGATATAGCAACGGGTTCACCTTCTCGGAGTTTTTCCATATCGTCGCGCACAACAGTACCGCCAACGCAGGCCATACAATCGATGTTCATATAGTCGCCCAATGCAACAACAACTTTTTGGATCTGTTGAGCAAGCTCACGAGTAGGTGCAAGGATGAGAGCTTGGGTTTGTTTGATACTAATATCGATGCGTTGCAAAATCGATATAGAAAATGTAGCAGTCTTCCCCGTTCCTGATTGGGCCTTGCATCAAAGCGT